AGGCCCTTCTAAGTGGTATGAACATATGCAAAAATATGCAGCAAGCAACAACTTGGAAAAATGTAACCAACAAGAAATGCACATGATTTTGGCGCTCACTCAGCTAGAGGAGACATTTGTTGGTATACGTAGTTTGTGCGGATTACAGTAAATTCGCTTTGGGGAAGGAGAAAGAACACTGGGGTGGGTGTACCAGTTCCCTTGTGGGAATAGAAAGCTATTTATCATATCATAGGTGAATATTACTTCTTCTAAACTTATATAACAAAATGGAAGGTTTCTTATGGTTCTGAAAGCCCTGGGTAACTACGCAAAAATGTCCCCGCCCCTCCCCTTATCACACTACAAGAGCGCCATGAATTTTCTCAGGATTTCAGGAATTGTCCGAAAAGTCTGGCATGTCCCAAAACAGCTGAAGGGGGCTACACTTTAGAAACTTCATCGACAACTAATATCGTGTTTTCAGAAACTTTTCATTTTTTTAATAACAGAGTAGTTGGGTCCGACCTTGTGAGGGACCAGACTGGTATACTGCCCTCACAGTACTCTGTTAACTGTAACTGCATTACAGTTCTCTTTCTCAGGTTAGGTCACCTTAAATTCGGGACACCATTCATTTGCTCAAAGCAAGCTTAGGACTAACTAAGCCTAGGCCCAATCATAGGCTTAAGCATAAGCCAATGTGTAAGCATAAGCCACCTAAGCCTGAACCCAAGCTTAACCTTAAGGCTTCAATGATCGCGTAGCTTTGGTGACTGACCCCAGGAGGAGAAAGCACGTCTCCCGGTCTCGACAACTCGTCAGTTTAATCTTTTTTATTGAAATCGAAGAAGGTAACATTGCAGATTGTGGCCGTGGTATCGACTTTTCATTCGTTTGAGGCCTATGCTGAAAGGAATGAAATCGAACGCGGAAGTGGAAGCTTTAGAAAGGAAAGTCAAGGTAATTTGTTTTAAAATAGATTGCAACTTTTTTTCTTCCTTGTTTCGAAAGATTCCGTAGACTAAGAGGTGCGTTGGAAAGACAATCGCATTTCAAGCACTTTCTCTTTGGTGAATTTTTGATTGAATCTTGCCAAGGGTAGCAAAGTGACCAACCTTTCTGGGTCCCTTAATTTTTTGTAAATTTGTTTAAGATAAGGACGGTTAATCGTGCGTGGATAGCCCAAGATGTAACTCTATAGGTTAATCGCATTCCAATGGCCTTAATGGTCTTACTGGTAGAACGGGTGGATCCTTCCAGAAACGGATGATCAAATCCTACTCTTTTCTCTGAAGTTCTTGAATAAATGTTTAGGAGCTTGAGGAAAGCTCGAAGAATGAAGAAATACAGCGAAAGCGATTTGAAGATGAGCTACGAATGAAAACCGAGCAGTACGAAGAGAGTCGAGCAGCACTGGAACGTGAGCGTATGCTGATGGAAAAACGCAACCAGGAAATCGAAGTACCAAGTCCTTCTCGATAATGATATTAAACTAATCCAATTAATTTTTCTAATTATTTGGAAGCAAATTTCACAAAAAACTTTTGATATATCTATCTTAATTCAATTAAGGAGCTGTACAAGTCATTGAAAGCCGAAACGGACAAAGCTGAAGAGCAGGCCCGAAAGGCAAAGGAGTTGGAAAAGGAAAAAGCGAAGGAGGCGAAGGAATGGGCCGAAAAGGTTAGCTAAGAAGTAAACAAAAAACAATTACGTTCACAAAAAGGTTACAAAGAAATTAAAGAAATTTTTTTTGGTAAAGAGGTGAGAATTTTTTTTGAAAGTGAGAACAGCTTCTTTCCACGCCTCTATGAATTGCGAAAGCCTGGCTGTTTGCTCTAGCAGCAGCACCATCAGGAGCAGCAAAGCTCTATCTCCTTTCAGAGCCGTTTCATCCTTCTCTCAAGAAACTTATGATTAGTGTTTCTAATTCTACAAGGCAATCGTGATCCATAAGCGCTTTTATGAGCTCTGCTCACGTAACTCCAAGTAGACAGTGATCATCTGAGCAAAGGGTCCATCAGAGGTCTATTAACACGTCGCCGACAGAATGACGCGCATGCGCGTCA